CCTCAGCCTGACAGCTGGTATTAGCACTCTCATTAGGGTGTCATGATCAAGGTTACGCTCCTGGTTAGCTCCTTCAAAGCCTGTGCAGTTTTTCTCTTCTACAAGTTCAAAGATCGCCGGTGCTCTTGAACCACAAAGTGTATGTTCTACCACAAATCCTGTGTTTTCCCCTCTCAAACCCCTTGTTTGTTTCAAATTCTTTGCTTTGTAAAGAGGAGGAGCAGGGGAGAAAGAGCTCTAGAGAGGCTTGGTGACAAAGAAAGGCTTCTCTAACCCTTCCCCCCACCCCGCCCTCCTCTGCCAGGCAGGGCCCAGCAGTCCTAGGCACACAAACTGTCTGCCCTTGGGGCTAAGATGAAGAGGAAAGTGTTTTCACCTTTTATTGCACTGTGGTGTTCAGTGCAGAAAGCCACCCCTCCCCATTGCTCTCCCTAGGAGCTCCCACACTGAGACCTTGCTTCCTGCCATCTCCTGGGCCTCCTAGTTGGGGTAGTACATTTCCCAGAAGCCACAGGAGGTGCTCTCCAGAAATCCCTTTGCTCATTCTAGCCACACAAGGAGAATTTTGGTTTTGTGGTCCATGCATGTTCTACTTTGACTGCCTCCACTGACTGGAATGCAGGAGATACTTGGTTTTTTTTGGATTGGGGACTGTGTGTCTGAGTCATGTGTATTCCTGTGTTTGAGACTCTCTGTGGCCTTCTGTATGCCTCTAGGTCTCTTGGTTCCCATAGGGGTCAGTCACCCCTTAAATTCCCAGAGAACTGCAACACTGCTCCTGCCCCCTCCATACCTTTGCAGACCCCCCTCTCCCCCCCAACTCCCGCTCAGCTTGAGGAACCCATCTTACAGCACTTGCTTCCCAAGGGAGGGGAGAGACCTATGACCCCCTAGGCTGACCTTGCTATTCATCTTCATGCCCAGCTAGCCTGTGAGAAAAGAGCTACACTGGGTGCTTGAATGAGCCATCTTCCATCATGGAGGGGGATGGGGGCAGCCTTTAAATGTCCCCTCCATCTGCCTCCTGATGCAAGACAGTGCCTGTGTTCTCATTCGGGGCTTGGCCTTGGGAAGCACCAAGAAAAAGAAGCTGTTAAAAAATCTGATCCAGGCTGAAGGGGCTGTTTTGGTCTCTCAGAGTTTCCTCGTTGTTTTAAGCCTCCTTGTGGCCCCTAGGATCTGACTGTCTTACAGCAGTTGGGGCGAAGTGGTAGGGAAGCAGCCCCTAGTTGCAGGTGCTTCTCAGTGTGGTAAAAAAGGGGGAGAATTTGATTGACTGTACATTTTTTTCCCCAAAGCTCCATCTTTTCCATGTAAAATAAAGATATCAGGGTACCCTGCAGCAGTGTGTGCTTCTGTCCCTGTCCTCCCAGCCATTGCTTCTATCCAGGACAGGTTTCCAAACCACTTTCTGCAAGAGTCTGGCTCAGGTTGGTGCTGGGAGTAGAAGCAATTTGTGTGGATGCCAAGAAACTTGGGAGTTAACTGCCTGCCCTCCTCTCTTACCCCTCCATCCCAGCTGCTCTAGGACCAAGTCCACCCCGGTACTTGCTTCTATGTCTTCACCCAACCCTCGGGTCAGAAGCTCAAACCCCTCATCTGGCTCCTTATAGCCTTGGGTGGGGTGGTGGCTGATGAAAGTGTTTATCTGGGGTGATGGTGGAGAACAGAAACTGCTAATGCCTACCCCAGGGCAGCCGGATCAGGGCAGCCACGTCAGCATTTGCAGGAGAGGAGCCTGGGATCTGTCTATTTTTAATGAATACCACAGGTTTGAGAAATGCCAGCTGAGAGATGAGGAGCCTGCACTTTAAACCAGTTCTCAAACTTGGCTGCACATCTGAATTATCTGGAGAATTTTTTAAAATACACATAAGGTTCTAGTTGGAATGGGGTTAGACCTCAGCACTGTGATTTTATAAAGCCCTCCGGGTGTCTGGAAATGTGTACTGCTTTAGAGCCAGATGTGCCTGGGTCCAGGTTCTGCTGTGACCTGGGACAAGAACTCTGTAAAACAGGAATCAGGAGAACTATTTGGGGGGTTGTGGTGGGCACACAGTGAGGGTGCCCAGAATTTGGTAGGTCTTTATATATATTCACTCTGGATGTGAATCCTTTATCAGATACATGATTTGAAAACATTCTTTCTCAGTCAGCAACCTTTCTTTTCATTTTCTTTGTTTTCCTTTTATAAAGTAGGATCTCATTATGTAGCCCAGGCTGGCCTGGAACTCAGTATATAGTCAAGACTAACTTCAAACTCAAGACCCTCCTGCCTCAGCCTCCCAAGTGCTGGAATTACAGATGTGCACTGCCACACCCAGCCTCATTGTCTTAATGTTACACATATACATTGTGAGACTGGGGTCTGAACTCAGGCTTCCCACCTGCCAAGTACATGATCACTTGCTTAAGCTGCATCCTCAGTCCCTTTTGCTCTGTTTTTTTTTAAATTTTTTCTTTTTTGGTGGTACTGGGTTTGAACTCAGAGCCTCACACTTGCTAGGCAAGCACTCTACCACTTGAGCCACTCCGCCAGCCCATGCTCTGTTTATTTTAGAGAGGTGGGGTCTCTCCAACTATTTGCTGGGGCTGACCTCAAACTGCGATCTTCCCAATCTGAACCTTCCAAGTAGCTAGGATTACAGGCGTGAGCCACTAGTACCCAATTCTTAATGTTATCTTTTGATGTGCAAAAGCTTTTAATTTTAATGAAGTCTAGTTTATGGTTTGTTTTTCTTGTATAGCTCATTCTTTAGGTGCTGTAACTGTGAAATCTTTGCCCCTGTATTCTAAGTTGTATAGTTTTAGCCCTTACATTTAGAACCACCGTGCATTATGAGTTCAGTTTTGTGTATGGTGTGAGGTAGGGACCTATAGTCACTGTTTTGCTTGGGAATGTCCAGTTGCCCCAGCACCATTTGCTGAAGAGACCATCCTCTCCCCATTGAGTTAAATGTGTGTTTTTCAAAGATCAGTGGCACACAGATATAAAGGTTTATTTGAGTGTTTTCAGTTCCATTCCATTGATCTATCCTTGTATCAGAACCCCACATCTCGGCTTTCATAAATGTTTTTTGAATGAACAAGAGAAATAATGGATATGGTAATTAGAATGAAGATAAAGTTTTGCAGTCATAAAACTTGTACTTTTCTAGAAAAGTCTAATTAGATTTTTTTTGTGTGTGGTACTGGGCTTTGAACTCAGGGCTTAGAGCTTGCTAGGCAGGCACTTTATAGTAATTAGACTTTTTTTGGTCCTGGGATTTGACACTCCACCCACCCTTTTTTGTGATGGTTTTTTTGGAGATAAGGTCTCCCAGACTTTTTCCCAGGGCTGGCTATGAACCATGATCCTCCTGATCTGAGCCTTCTGAGTAGCTAGGATTACAGGCGTGAGCCACCAGAGCCCGGCTAGATTTTCAAAAGAAGGGTCACTTTTGGTGCCTCTGAAGACATTCTTGGACAAAACCCTCAGTAAAATTTACTTGATACAATGAATTGCTACTTTAGCATTTCTGTTATGTAATACCATTTCCTGAGTTTGTGTGTTTGTCTGTGGGTTTTACTTAATGAGAGATCCACCCTCCAGTCATTTTCCTACCAGGTCCCTGTTTCATTTGAAGTCAGCAACACCTGCTCACGGGAGGAACCTGTTGGGTTGTCTTGCTACAGCAAGCAAGCTGGTACAATTTATCTCCCCAAACACCCTGAGCACTCATTTGGTAGCTTTTACCCCAGAGCTCTGTGCAGCCCCAGGAGCTGATGACACCACAGTCTGGGTCCTTGGGAACTTGCTACCAAACACACAATTTCTGAGAGTTGGCATGGTCAGAAAGTCAGCTATCAGATGGCCAGCCAGCTGTCACCCAGAAGCACTCAGCCCTCCGCATCCCTACAATCTATGGATGCAATGTGGGGGAAGTCAGAAGGGTCAAGATCTCTTTTGGGGAGAATGAAGAGCCAATTTGTGGGAACTGCCCATTGGTTAGGTTTGAACTCAGGCCTTCGAGCTTGCTAAGCAGGCACCCTACCACTTGAGCCACTCCCACTACCCTAACTCATTGTATTTTTAATACCTAATCAGCATTGGTGAGGAAGCCCTCCCTTGCACTGCATTTGAACACCACCCCTGGGGCTGCCGTGGCATTTCCTTTCACTTTCTCAGCACCCCCTGACTGGGTTATCTCTGGAAACCTAAGCGCTGAGCCAAGGCTGTGCAGCTGTGGAGGGCAGGGCCAGAACTCAAGGGTAGGGCTGTGCCCAGCCTGCTTTCCAGTTCTCTCTTTTGAAGGCCAAGGGCACAGATCGGAGAGTTTCCCGCAGGCCCTGAGGCTCTTCCTGCTGAGAAAGCCACCTGGCTTTGTTCCTTCTCTGTGCAGTTCTCAGTTCTGCCTGGTTAGAGGGCGTGGAAGGAAGATTCCCAGTGGGCCACCCCCAGAGAGTGATATGGTACCTAGAACTCTGCTGTGAATGAGCTTTTTATAATGGATAATTGGGTGGGGGCTTCCAGAGGAGGCCCAGGGCCCTCGAATCTGTGTACTGTGTGGTTCAGGTCCCTAGTGTGGCAGGAAATTTAGTCCACTATCATCATCATCAGTATTTCTTCCTGCCTCTCAATAAACATAATGATTCAGTAGAAACCGCATCAGTTGGTGGGTAAGAGCTTTGGAGTCAGGCAAAGTAGCTGTATCACTTAGAGCTATGTGATGATGGGTAAGTCACTCAAGGTCCCTCTGAGTATCAAATTCCTTTAAGTAAAATGGTGGTTTTATTGCCCACTTCAGAACGTGATTGCAAGAACCAGACAAGGTTGTTTATGCTTAGCCTATAGTCAGCCCTTGGATCAGATGCGGTTTTAAAACAGATCCCCTAGGATTCCCCTCCCCTGCTCCCCACAAGTCAGATGGAGAGCCTGGAGCCATCCTGGCTTGCCTGTGGACACAGAGCAGAGCCCAGGGAGGGCCTCTCACCCCATACCATCTGCCCTGCAGCAGCCAGCACCATGGAGATTGTCTACGTGTACGTCAAGAAGCGTAGCGAGTTTGGGAAACAGTGCAACTTCTCAGACCGCCATGCCGAGCTGAACATCGACATTTCACCCAACCCCGAGCTGGCTGCACAGTTCGTGGAGCGGAACCCAGTGGACACGGGTATCCAGTGCTCAACCAGCATGTCAGAACATGAGGTGGGTCACCTGTCTTGAGGGACCAGGCCAGCAAAGGTGTGGTTGGGGTAGGTAAGTGGGACTGGGTGTCTTGCCCTCCTGGAAACCAGTTATAGTGGACCAGCACAGGTGCTGGAAGTGTGGGGCACAGTCACTCCGAGACCCACTGCAGTGCCAAGGTGAGGAGAAGATGGGACAGGGGAGCATAAGCCAAGATGTTCCCTCTCCCAAGGGTCTGGCCTCACCTTTAAGACTCTCACTAGTCATTTTGGACCTTTTGGTACTTCTGAGAGAGGAACTCTGAGGGAGTAGGAATTCGTAACTCCAGACAATTGCCAAGCTTGAGAAAAGGGAAGTGTCCCACAGGAAGTTCCGGCTGGGACAGGAAGGAGCTCCAAGATGCCTTCAAAGGCCCATGTGAACCAGGGGATCAGCCCCTGATTGATTAGGTCAGCAGCTGCTGAGAGAAAATTAGATAGAGTGAGATAACCCTTTTTATCATGCCCCACACCATCTGATTTAAAGTCACACTTGACTTGACCAAAACACGTCCACAAGTGGGTGGTTCCAATGACTCACTATTCAAGCAAACTAGCTTCTTGCTCTCTTAGCCGAATTGCTGTTTCAGGGACCAGGTAAGGCACCTTGGTGCAGCCCAAATCAAAATGGCAGACATGTTGGCCACGTTAACCAGGCTTTCCCTCACAGCCCCTTCCTGGCCCCTCACTTTGGGGAGCTGGTTTTAAAATGGAAAGAGACGGGACCGACATCCTTAATGGGACAGGATTTCCACTGGGATGAAACTAGAAAGTGGTGATGGTTGCACGACACTGAGCACAGTAATGTCAACAAATTGTACACTTTGAAATGTTTAAAATAGTAAAAATTAAAATAAATCATAATTTTTAAAAAATGGGCCAAGGTGGGAGGAAGTGGACAAGCAATTCCCACAGGTGAATCTGTGTAAAGTTTTGGTTTCTGTGACACTGTAATGCGGAGGGCGGGGGGTGGAGGGTTATTCACTTTTTTTTTTTTTAATTTTGGAATCTCACAGAACAGATGTGTGGGCTCCTGAGGCTTATTAGGATTTGGGTAAGGTCAGCACTGGGTTTTCCATAACCACTGGCCTCGACTGCAAAGCAGCTAGCTCCACAGGGTGGCACTGTTAAGGCCATCTGGGGACCAGAAAGTTGCTTCTCTGTGGCTTTGGCCAGGCACCTCATCAGTCCATCTCTGAGCGCTCAGGGTCCTGGGAGCCTACAGTCCTGGTTTGCAGAAGGAACTGAATGCTTACATCAGGACCAGTGTCTCCTCACCTGTGGCTCTCTGTTTAGGCCAACACAGAACGGTTTGAGATGGAGACCCGGGGGGTTAACCATGTCGAAGGGGGCTGGCCCAAGGATGTGAACCCCCAGGAACTGGAGCAAACCATCCGCTTCCGGAAGAAAGTGGAAAAGGATGAGAATTACATCAATGCCATCATGCAGCTCGGCTCGGTAAGGCTTCCCCCAGCTCTAGCTGCCACAGCCTCACCAGTTCCCCTAGGACATGCCACACCCCAACTGTGCCTGGCACAGCACAGCTGTAAGCTCCTGTGACTACTGAGGAAGGTGGGGGGAGAAGGCCAGAGGTCCAAAGCTGAACAGGTTTTAGGAGGAGTCTAAAAGGTGGGAAGCCCCTTAAGCAAAGGTGACTCCAAAAGAGCCCTAGCGAGCAGCCAATAGGGATCCATTGTGTATTCTACAAGGGTAGATTCAGCAGGTCTATGTCAAGCTCAGTAGAGATTGCAAAAGTGAATCTCACATACATCCTGCCTCCACTGAGTTTATAACCCACTGAAGGTCAAAGACAAAAACAGAGACATCATCATATAATATAGAAAGAAAGAGAAGGGGGATTTGCCATTTTGCCCCATAAGGAGGGAGAGTCAGTTTCTTGCTGAAGGGATCAGGGAAGGCTTTCTGGAAAAGAATGGCTTTTGGGGTGGGTTTTTTCTTGCTGGGCACCTGGTATAATGGGGAGGGCCTTCAGGTTGTAGCAACCAGTGTCTGCAGGACAGGGAGCAGGAGACTGTCGCTGCATATAGACACATGGATACAGATCACGTGGCGCCATTAGCTGAGTTCATTGTCATGGGAACATCATCGAGTGTACTTACACAGATGAAAATGGCCATGACATCACTAGGCATCACTATGGGGCCACTATCATGTTATCTGGTCCGTACTTAACTGAGGCGTTACGAAGTGTATTGCTTTACACCCAAGTATTAATCAATCAAAGTGTCCATTGAAAATGCACAGGCTAAAAGATGGGCAAAGATCACTGCTAGACATTTCTTGCTCCTCCCAGGTCCCATCCCAGCCCTGCTCAGTCTGAAAGGATCTCTCTTTACTACTAAGAATCCCATGTGTCCCCTAGATCATGGAACACTGCATCAAGCAGAACAATGCCATTGACATCTATGAGGAGTATTTTGATGACGAGGAAGCCGTGGAGGTGACCGAGGAGGCCCCCTCAGCTAAAACCATCAACGTCTTCAGGTAGTTTCATAGGGAGGCAGACATTTGGCTATTTGTCACCCCATGGGTGGGCACTCCCAAAGGGGACTTCTTTCCCATCACTCTGTGCAATGGGTGTAATACTCTCTGTGCTCTGAGGTTGGCAAGGGGCAGATTGAGAAGGTAGCCAGCAGAGAAGTGGTCCCTGTCCTGGGGGAATCTGGTTGATGGAAATGGAGTACAGATTTCAGGGAAGAACCTCAAGTGATTTGCCAGGTGTGGACAAGCAGGATCAGTAAAAGCGTTGGGCATGACAGACCCTGCAGTATGGTGGGCAAAGAGCCTGTCTGCCTTGCACTTGTGGGAGTGGATCTGAGAATAACCTTGAAGGATAGCAATTTAGGAAAGGGATGTATCCATGTTGTGTGTATGAAGCCACTGTATCTGGGGACATTCCCTGCAGTGGGTGCTTGCTGGCCAGAGCTGGAACAAGCTAAATCCATCAGTGGGGGCTGGGTCCAGCAATTCTGGTACTCCCACACAATGGAATACCATGCAGCCACTAAAATGAAAGGGGCAACTTCTGGGCCAACTGGGAGAGATTACCAAGCTTTATTATTTGCAAACCAAATCAAAACAAGGTGCAAGCCAGGCACATACCACCTCCCAGCTATGGCAGGAAGTATTAAATAGGATCACAGTCCAGGCTGGTCTGGGCAAAAAGTGAGACCCTATCTCTAAAATAATGAGAGCAGAAAGGGCTGGAGGCATGACTCACACAGTAGTAGAGCACCTGGCTAGCAAGTGTGAAGCCCTGAGTTCAAATCCCAGTACTGCCAAAAGAAAAAAAAACCCAACGAGGTGCAAAGCAGTATGTGGAGAGTGCCATTTTTGTTTAAACATACATGTCTATGAATCACACATTCACATGTGCACAGGCTGTGTACCGTGTACACGTGTGTGCATGTGCTACATTGCACAGAATGCCTGTGACTTTTGACTTCTGGCCTCAGACCTGGAAAAGAACACATTTCTGTTGTTTTAAGCCACCTCCAGCCGGGGGTGTGGCTCAGCAGTAAAACGCTTGTCTAGAATACCCAAGGCCCTGGGTGTGATCCCAAAAAAAAAGCCACCTGGTTTGTGGTGTAATTCTTACAGCAGACCCAGGAAATGAGAACCCAGAGCGTTTGCTCACATTTGTAGCACAGGGAGGGGAGCTTGGGGTCAGGGGTGAAGACTTGATGAAGGGAGGTAAGGGTGAGAGCGGTGTTCTTGGAAGTGCAGGGGCACAAATGGAGGTGGGCAGAAGAGGGGCAGAGGGGAAGGGTGGGATGTGAAGGCCAGGGCATCTGAGGACCCAGTGCAGGGGTCAGGTCTGCTCTGGGTGACGCAGATGACAAGGATGACAGGCATTGGGGAGTGATTCACCTCCAGTACCAACTTGGGACACTTCTTTTGCCACCAAGTGACTGAGGGTCCTAGGAAGTACCTGACCTAGTCCAGGGCATGGAACCAACCACCACAGCCGGGGTATTCAGAGGTGAGGGAAGGGCAGCTTCAAGCTCCCTTTCCTGCTGTCCTCAGGCTTTCTGGGCTCTCCTCCTACGTAGAGGTTACGAGAGCAGCCCCTGGTGGTTTTATTTGTTTTAGAGATAGGGTTTCGCTGTGTAGCACAGATTCCTCTTGAACTTGTGATCTTCCTGCCTCAGTTTCCAGAGTGCTGAGACTACAGGCATGTACCACCGTGTGTAGCTCCCATCTGCCACGTTTTACTGATGAGGACGCTGACCCCAGGCAGGCACATATGCAAGGGCACACTGTGGGCAGGTGATAGGGTGGAGCTCTGGTCTCCTGAGTCCCCAGCCTGCCTCTTTCTACTCAAATATGTCTGCCACATGCCACCCCCAACTCCCACCCCAGCGCGCAGCACCCGTTATCCATGCCGCACGGGTTTCTTACCATCACCCTGAGTTCCTAGTTTACGGCAGGGGTCACTCTTGGGGTTGGCTGCACCTTCTGTAGGATTGGACAAATGTCACATGACATGTAGCAGCCATTACAGTATCCTACAGAGTGCTTTCACTGCCCTAAAAAGGCCTCTGTGCTGTGTATCATCCCTCCTTCCTCCAACCCCTGGCACCCTGGATCCTTTTACTGTCCCCGCAGCTTAGCCTTTTCCAGAATGTCCATCACTGTAATCATCCAACGTGCATTCTTTCCAGTCTGGCTTGTTTCACTTACTAATGGGCATTTAAGTTTCCCCATGTCTCTTTGTGGCTTGACAGCTCATTTCTTCCTTTTTTTTTTTTTTTAATTTGTGGTACTGGGGTTTGAACTCAGGGCCCACACCTCAAACCACCCTGTCAGCCCTTTTCTCTGTTTTTTTTCAAGATAGGGTCTCATGAACTATTTGCCCTGGCTGGCTTTGAACCACGGTCCTCCTGATTTCTGTCTCCTGAGTAGCTAGGATTACAGGCGTGAGCCACTGGTGCCTGGCTTGCTTCCAAGTTTTGACAATTGTGAATAAAGCTTCTATAAACATTCATGCCTAGGGTTTTGTAAGGACAGAAGTTTTCAACTCATCTGGGCAAATAACCAAAGAGTTTAATGTCTGGGTCCCCTCCCCCTTATTCTGACAGCAATGGAAGATCAGACTCTGACTCAAAACTTTCAGCAGCTGAAAGTGTTAAACTGGAATTCAATGTTTTGCTTCTATTTTCCCAATTTTTATTATTACATTCTAGTTATAGTTGGTGAAACTGGTTTTCCATTTATGAGAGTCTTGACAACTTTTTTAAAATAGATTTTTCTGAGTGAAAGCAATTGCTTAGATACATTTGAATTTTTTAAAGGAAAAAAATCTAGTAAATAAGGAATTGGGGGGAGCCCCACTCTCCAGTCTTCTTCCCTCTTGCTTTCCCTTGAAGGGACCCCCAGGAAATCAAGCGGACGGCCACACACCTCTCCTGGCACCCTGATGGCAACAGGAAGTTGGCAGTGGCGTATTCTTGCCTGGATTTTCAGCGGGCTCCTGCGGGCATGAGCTACGAGTCGTATATCTGGGACCTGGGTGAGACGTAAAGTAGGGGTCCCACTGGCCAGACAGCGCTGGGGGACAAGGGCAGAGGCCAGTGCAACCAGGGGTAGAGGGTGGAAGCAAGGGGTCAAAGACATTCACCGGGAGAGACCAGAAGTGAGGAGCAAGACACCTGTCCTGTTCCTTCCCTGACTGAGGTCAGGTTCAGCCCTATAGGGCCAAATCAGAGGCAGGAAATTTCCTTTGATTCCAGATTTTTTTTTTTCCAGTGCTAGGGATTGAAGCTAGGTAAATACCACTGAGCTACACCCCCAGCCCCCAGATTACAAATTCTTAATCTGGGCATGAATACCAGACCCCATGGAATGCCAATTCTTAGCTCCTAAAAAGCATACAGGAAAGATGCCCAGCAGACTGAAAAGGGAGCCCAAGGGGGAGGGAGGGGCTCATGCCTTTCCTCACCCTCACCCTTACTTCCTGGCCAGGAGGGGCCGTGCATTCACCTGGTAGCCCTGTCTACAAAGGGCCAGCTCTGTCTGGCAGGGAGCAGGGAGCCACGTGGTCAGTCTTCTTGCATTTTCCTTATTATGATAAATGTACAGGTCCCAGCTAGTCGCTGACACTGCACTCTCTTCAGCAGCCCAGCAAGTTCTCCCAGCACCCTGGTGCCCAAGGTGGACTTCGGCCTGGGTGGAGGAATTTAGTGGAGAGCTGATTTTATGTAAAAACCTGAGGGATGGAGTAGGGATGTGGTTCAAGTGGTAGAGCTCCTGTCTAGCAAGCTGTGAAGCCTAAAGCTCAAACCCCAATCCTGCTACAAAAATAAACAAATGAACAAAACCTGAGGGTCAAAAAACCCGATTTCACACCAAACTTGGGAAATGAACTAGAACTAGAATTAAACACACACCTAGCTGGGTGAGGAGGCTCACTGCTGTAATCCCAGCTATCCAGGAGGTAGAGATCAGGAGGATCGAGGCTGGAGGCCAACATGGGTAAACAATTAGCCCATCTTAACCAATAAAAAACTAGGCATGGTGGTTCACACCTGTCATCCCGGCTATGTGGAGGCATAAAAGGGAGGACTGCAGTCCAGGCTAGTTCCAGGCATAAAAGTGAGACCTGTTTGAAAAATAATTAAAGCAAAAAGAACTGGCACATGGCTCAAGTGGTACAGTGCCTGACTATCAAGTGCAAAACCCTGAGCTCAAACCCCAGTACCCCCAAACACACACACATACACACACACACACACACACACACACACACACATACACACACACCCCAATCTTGATCTCTCCAAATAAAGCCATTAGCCAAGATTTGGATCAAGAGGGATCTGAGATAACAGAGGGGCTCCCATGCTTCGTCTTTGTGTCTCCCCACCTCTGTCCCCTCCCACCACTTGTAGAAGGGGCTAAGCCTTTGACCCTGTCTTTTTCTGTCCAGAACTGATGGGATCATTTTTTTTTCTGTCTTATAGAAAACCCCAATAGGCCTGAACTTGCCCTGAAGTCATCTTCTCCACTGGTCACATTGGAATACAACCCCAAAGATTCCCACGTGCTCCTGGGGGGCTGCTACAATGGGCAGATAGGTGAGGCTGGGGCTGGAAGACCAAGTGGGCGGGCACTTCCTACAGTTGACCACCTCAGACCCCTCTCCCACGTCTCCATCTCCCTGGACAGTCAAGTTTAGCTGACACTTCTGTACTGCCTGCAGCTGTCACAATTCGAGTAAGTCTATCATTAGCACAAATAGAAAGGTTTAGAAGTTTCTGGGCACCAGTTGCTCAAGCCTATAATCCTAGCTACTCAGGAGGCAGATCAGGAGGACTGAGATTTCAAACCAGCCCTGGGTAAATAGTTCATGAGACCCTATCTGGAAAAAAACCATTACAAAAAAATGAGCTGGTGGAGTGGCTTAAGTGGTAAGAGTGCCTGCTTTGCAAGTGTGAGGCAATGAATTCAAACCCCAGTGCTGCCCCCAAAATAAATAAATTTAAACAAAAAGGTTTAAAAGCTATAATTCAAGTAAAGTCAAGAACCACTGGACTCCCTAGAGGCCAGCTTTCGGGGTGGTGGGACCATTTCTTGGGAGAGGCATCGGGGGAAAAGGTACGGGTAATGCTAGCCTTAAGGAAGGAGTTGAGAAGTGTCTCCGTCATTTCTGTCTTCTGGAATCCTTTGAGAGGAATCAACACTCATTTTCAATGTCCCATGCAAATTCAATTCCCATGGCAAATGCCATGGGAATATTCTGGTTCTGGGCCTTTCTTTATTGGGAGTTTTAACTTCTCTTTCTTTCCTTCCTTCTTTTCTTCCTTCCTTCCTCCCCCCCTCCCTCACTTCCTTCCTTCTTTTCTTCGTGGTGGCACTGGGGTTTGAACTCAGGTCTCACACTTGCTAGGCAGGTGCTCTAGCACTTGAGTCACTCTCCAGCCCTCTTTTCTGATTTCTTAAGGTGGAAGTCTACATTATTGACTCCAGGTAGGTTTTTTATTTTCTTTCTTTTTTTCTTTCTGAACAGATTTTTTTTCTTTGTAACACTAGGGCTCAAAACCAGGACATCATGGATGCTGGGCAAGTGCTCTACTACTGGGCGGTGCCCCCACCCCAGCCCTTCTTTTCTGTTCCGAGTTGCTTATTAACATGGGGACCTAGAGTGGTGACTTTTCCTCTCAGCACTACTTTAGCTGCATCTCATCTGTTTTGTGCTGTAGTACTTTTGTGCTCCTCATTTCACAGATTTTCTAACTTCCGTTTCGATTTCTCCTATGGCCCACTAGTGTTCAGATGTGTGTTCTTTAGTTCTCCCTATTTGTGACTTTTCCACGTTTCCCTTTGGCTATTGGTTTCTAGTGTCATTGCATTTTGGTCACAAAAGATACCTTCATGAATGACTTCAGTCTTTCTTAATTTATTCAGACTTATTGTGGCCTGGCATGTTGTCTGTCCTGAATGTTCCAGGTGCTTTGATAAGAACATATTCTGCTTGTATAAATGTCTTTCTGGTGTTATGGTGCTCTCTCCCAAGCATGTCCCCAGGGCTGGGCAAGCACACCGCCCGACCTGTGCTGGTGGCCTTTAGAGGCCCAGGGGTGTGCCAGGGCTTTTCAAAGCCCCCGTGGACACCTGCAGCTCCAGCTTTTCCTCATAAACGTCTTGGTCGGCCTTTTGTTTGCGCCATCTGTGATCCACTGCTCGGGATAGCGCTGCACTTTGGCAGCAGCCTGTAGTGAAATCCCTGAGCAAACTCCGAGGCAAGTCAAACACAGTCTTGCAAGAGGGATCCTCAGGTTGCATAATGACAGTTCTTTGACATGGGACTTGGACAGAGCTCCATCCAGCCCCTGTCTGCTCTGTCCTTGCAGCCATCCAACCACAACACAAACAATGTAGGATGCTGGTTTTCCTGGGTCCCCTAGAACTGGAGAGTGTGGGTTTTTTAATTTTTAATTTTTTTTTTTGAGTTACTGGGGTTTGAACTCAGGGCCTACACCTTGAGCCATTCCACCAGCCCTTTTTTTGTGTTGGGTTTTATTAAGATAGGGTCTCGAGAACTATTAACCCAGGCTGGCTTCAAACCATGATCCTCCTGATCTCTGCCTCCTGAGTAGCTAGGATTACAGGTGTGTGCTTCCAGCACCTGGCTCTCACTTTTTCATTAGTGTACATGAATTGCACAAAAGGATTTCACTGTGATAGTTCCCTGTATGCATATAGAGCACTTTCATCAAATCCAGCCCTTCTGTTACTTATTACTGTCCCTCTTGTTTGTTTTTGAGACAGGGTCTTGAGTCAGCCCAGGCTGGCTTTCAACTCTCAGTCCTCCTACCTCAGCCTCCCAAGTGCTGGGATTACAGAAGTGCACCACCACCCCCAGCTCCTTACCCTACCATTTTTTGCTGATGGCACACTTGGAAAAACAAACCCTAGTGAGGCCAGAAGAAACCTGCTTGTTCTCTATCCTCAGCCCTGAAGTAGCAGGTTCCCAACCCACAACAACACACCAGCCCAGTCTTGACCTTGGGGCAGAAAAAGATTTCCATCCCTTCTCCTTCACATGGTCTTTTACTTTCCCTTCTTCGCAAGTGGAGCTGGAATGGCTGGGAAATTTCTTCTCAGATACCTGTGTGTCTAGGCATGGTGATACATACCTGTAATCCTCTTGGGAGATGGAGGCAAGAGGATCTTGAGTTCCAGGCCAGCCTCGGCTAACATAGCAAGACCCTATTAGAGGTGGTGGGGGGAGGGAAGGAGAGAGAGAGAGAGAGAATGAGAGAGCAGAGAAAGGAGAGGAGGGGAGGGGAGGGGAGGGGATTAGTTATCTGTGGACAGACTGCCTCAGGCCTTCTGAAGCCCATGGTTTCTCTCTCAGACCTGCAGCCTTCTGCCGTGGGAAGACAGGTTATTTGGGTGCCCAAGCTCTAAAGACTGCAGCAGAACCCTTTGCTGTGATTTATTCAGGAGGCAGCCTCAATCATTATGCATGACCCCTTCTGGTGGCTTTTCACACCAGCTCAGTGCAGCCCAGACTCTATCCTCCTGCCAGCAGAAGGCGACCCCAGTAAGAGCTGCTAGGACTGTAGGAGTCACCCTTGGATGCTGCTTTGCCCAAGCAGGACAAACTTAGTCAAGAAAACACACTGGGCAAAAGCCTGAGATTTGAGGGAATATGAAGTTACAACTTAGGAGCTAAGTGTTTTTGTTGTTTTACAAAACCAGTGTTCCTGGAATGGGCTCTGAGTAAGAGGGTGGGTCCTTGGTGTACATCCATGGGAAAATGAAAACCAAATCGATCAGGACAGAAAGCAGGCTTTTGTAGGCAAAGCACCAAGAGAGCTGTCATGGTAGAGAGCCAAGCTCCTCTGAGTTTCTTTCTGGAGGCAGCAAAGGCCCAGAAGATAAGAGTGAGTGAGTCTATGCAGCAGGAAGATTTTCCCAGTGTTCTCCCCTTAGGCACCTCTCCGAGTGCTTTTCCCTGCAGTAGAGCCTGGACACTCTCCCTGTGGCTTGGCTCACTGCACCCTGAGGCTCACCCACAGTCTTAGCTCCATTCACTTCCCTGGGAGGACTTCTCTGGCCACCCTGTGTGTTCCTTTACAGTAGCAAATCCCAGCCTGGGCTGTATACAGGTCCCCTCCAGCCTCCCCAGAGACTGAGACTGGCCTGTTCCTGGTGGTTTCCTCAGGGCCTCAGGTGTACTCAGCACATGGAGTGCAGGATATCAACAGAATGGGTACACTCCTGGAGCCTCTCCAGAGATTTGCTGGGGTTGGCAGGAAACCCAGGCTGGTTTCAACTTAGCCCTGATTCTAAATATCCACATACCCCCCCAAGCCAGAGAAGTAGCGTCCCTAAAGCCCTGGGCCCTGCACTAGGGAAGGAAGCCTGGGCCTCCTTTCACCTCTCCCTTGTCTCCCTTCCATCAGCCTGCTGGGACATCCGGAAGGGCAGCCTGGTTGCAGATCTGTCCACCATCGAATTTAGCCACCGAGACCCTGTGTATGGCTCCATCTGGCTGCAGTCGAAGACTGGTACCGAGTGTTTCTCTGCATCCACGGATGGACAGGTACCGCCTGGCCAGGCCCTGAGGGGAGGGGAGAGGGCTCATGAGGTCCCCTGGTTGCCATCAGAAATCATCTGGGCAATATTTCCTTTTACATTTTATTCCATTTTATTTTGTGGTTCTGGAACTAGAACCCAGGGCCTCTTGCGTGCTAGGTAAGCACTCTACCACTGAGCTACACCCTCTGCACATTCAGGCAAACTCCTGTCTCTCTATTTGTTTTTTCTTCTGCACTTGATATGCTCCTAGCATATCTCAGAGACAGTTCTGGATTTTATAAACCACTACCCATGCTTATAAAGTGCTGTGGGTTGTGGCTTCATCATAATTTATTTAAGTAGATTGTGTCTTTTGTTGTAACCAGAAGAAGTATAGCAAAGAGTTCATTTGGGCCTAGAGTTTGGCACACGTGTGCAGATCTGGTACACATTTGTGACAATGGGATTATTAGGCCAAGGGATAGAAATCACTATACATAGAGAGCCTTGAAAAATCCAGGTTCCTGCACCCACACCTAGCAATTTTGCTTCTGTAAGGCTGGAGTGGGGCCCCGGTGTCTGGGTTTTGCGCAGCTTGCAGTGGCACTGGTGAACCTGTGGCCCACAGCAGCGATTCTCAAAGTGTTTGCCCAGGGATCCCATACCCTAGGGCCCCAGAAAGGTAGGGGAGGGGCAAAACCCAGGGATCTCAAGGTCTCACAGTTGCCCCCTCCTTCCACCAGGTCATGTGGTGGGACATCCGTAAGTTGAGCGAGCCCACCGAGGTGGTGATCATGGACATCTCCAGGAAAGAGCAGCTGGAAAATGCCTTGGGAGCCACCTCCCTGGAGTTCGAGTCTACGTTGGTGAGTGTTCCTTGCTCTGACTTTCCCGGCTCCAGCTAAGTTCAGGCCTCTGCTTGTGCCCCACCTCCCTCTAAAGGGCGGCCACTTCCCAAAGCCAGGTCCTCCACCTGTGTGGGTTTTTGCAGCAACATTCCAGCAGAGGGCAGCAGAGGTCCTCAAGGAAGGCAGCCATCTCAGGACATCCCAGTTTGGCAGGTGACAGCAGGCAATCTTTAACAGGACACAATTAAAAACAAACAAACAAAAAAGCCCTGTTCTATGGGAAGAGCCCTGACCAGGACCAATATCCAGACCGTCCCTGCCTCGTGCAGGATCCTGGGTTGATTACTTCTCTACCTCATGGAAGGAAAGAGGTATTTGGGAGGCAAAGGAGATTAGAGGGAAAACATCCAAAAACCAAGGCGCAGATGTGATTCCAGTGTTTAGCAACTGAGAAGGGACGGTAAAGAAATACCCAAAGTTGAGCAATAATGAGAATGGGTCAGAAGAGGGAAGTTTCTAGAAGCAGCAAATGAAGGTTCCCTCTCTAAAGAAAGACAGGGGAACAATTTTTCCCAATGGTTCCTGGCTGAAGCTGGCTCCTGGTTTATATCTTACTGAAGTCCAGGCCTATCACGGATTTCAGACCTCAGGTTGGTAAAAGAATTTTCTGAGAGGAGAGGACAAGGAGCAAAGGCTTATTAGGAGGCTGTGAGGGGAGACAGCAGACAGCTACAGCCAGAGCTGCTTGGAGTTATTTGATTGGCTGTTTCCTTGCTCCTGGGCCTTGCTGATTGGCTGCCCCTCCCTGGGATCATGGTTTGACCTTGGTGCCCACAGGAACATTTCTTGCACTTGACTCTCACTTCCTCATTCCACCTGGCCCTTGGTATTTTATTCCCACCATGCCTCCTTAAGGGGGACTTTTCTCCACGAGGCCTTGTTTCCCGTGACATCTTTCCTAGAACCTTGGGAGGCTGTGGCCTTGCACCTGCCCTGGGAGTCCTCACCCATGTCTTGTAGGATGAGGTGGAAATTCATTCAACTGACCCCCAACCTTGGCATAGGAGGAGGCACAGGATGGAGGGTAGGATAGGGAGGGTTCAGGAAAACATTCTGCCCCTGCTGCTGGGGTTTCTAGGCTGCTTGCTGGATATGGTGACCACCCCACAGCTAGTTCCCACTTCTCCATACCTGACCCTTACTGAGCGCCCACGCTGTACTGGCACTGGCAGCTACCTTCCACGCGTAATCATCCCTGCCCACCTTATGAGGGAATGTATTCGTCTCTGCCTTCAGATCAACCAGATGAGTGCCAGTGAGGTTAAGGTACAGGCCCTGGCACACGGTAAAGATGGAGCTCAAGCCCTGGACTCCAGGTCCGTCCCCACCCCCACACAAAGGCTGAGGTCAGAGGCCTGCTGGGCCACGTGGGTCTGAATGGCTGTCCTCCCTGGCATGCTTACAGGTGTCCTGCAGCTTGCTTGATGGCTTACTTCTCAGGGCTTCTTGAGCTTGGTCTTTTCACTTTCCTTTGATACTCAACTTTGCAGCTGTGTGTGTGTGTGTGTGTGTGTGTGTGTGTGTGTGTACTAAGCACATGCTGTACCACTGACTTACACTCCCAGCCTGTGTTTGAGACAGGGACTCTCTATGTAGTCTCTCGTGAGCCTCCTGCCTCAGCCTCTAAAGTGCTGGGATTACAGGACTGTACCCCCATGCCCGGCTCTGTGTTTATATTATTAGTTGTGGTTAAAAAAAGACACATAAAATTTACCATCTTAACCTGTTTTTTTGGAGGTACTCGGGGCCTACACCTTGAGCCATTCCACCAGCCTTGATTCGTACTGGGTTTTTCGAGATCAGTCCTCACAAACTATTTCCTCGGGCTGGCTTCGAACCTCGATCCTCCTGATGTCTTGGGTAACTAGGATTATAGGCATAAGCCACTGGCACCTGGCCACCATTCTACTTTTTGCCTCTAAGAATTTGACTATTGTAGGGGCCTAAGTAGAATCATAAAAATATTTGTCTTTTTGTGAGTGGCTTAATGTCCTTAAGCTTCATCCATTTTGGAGCATGTGTCATGATTCCTTTAAAGGCTGTATAACATTCCAGCACATGTGTAGCTCACATTTTGTTTATTCACTCAAAGACATATGGCTGCTTCCATCTCTTGGCAATAGTGGTTAATTCATGAGTGTGGGTGTGCACTGTCGTGTAGTTTGGGAGTGGGGTTCTTCACTCCCATCTCACATCATTGACTCAGTCACTCACCATCTATCTTTTGAGCCCCTACTCATACCAGACATTGTCCTGGGCATGGAGGGGACATCCATGATCAACAGAGACAAATGTCTCTGACCTCAAGGAGCTTGACTTGTCCATGTGGGACAGACAGTAAACAAAGAAATATGATACACATGCAGGAGGTGTGGGGGCTATGGGAACAGAAACAGCTCAGGGTAAGGTGGTTTGGGAGCTATGGGGTGGTCCAGGGCTCAGGCTGAATATGAAACAGGGTGATCTAGGTACTTAGGAGGAAGAGATCAGCAGGATCGCTGTTCGAAGCCAGCCCAGGCAAATAGTTTGTGAGATGCTATCTCAAAAAAACTCATCAAAAAAAGGGCTGGTGGAGTGGCTTAAGGTGTAGGCCCTGAGTTCAAACCCCAGTATCACAATAAAAAAAAAGAAGAAAGAAAGAAAGAAGGTGATCTTGGGGGTCTCCTTGCAAAGGTAAGGTTTGGTTAAATCTTGAAGGAAGCGTGAATTGACCAAGCTGATGTGGGGACGGGGTCATATTCCAAGCCTCAGGAACCGCCTACAGCATCACCTCCAAGGCAGCATGCCTGTGTGTTTGAAGATGTCATAGATACTTATGGGGACTAGGGTGGGCCAGAACCCACTGGGACAACCCTTGTAATCTTTCCCGCTAAGGGCCTCACCCCAGACCACCTTTCCTCCCGGCTTCCTGTGATTGCAGCATGGTAGCCACACACTCCCGTGGGGTCCCATATGACCCAGTGCATAGGAAGGGAAAGGGGCAATGCAAAGAACTGAGGCCCCATCTCTACTTCCACCCAAGGGAGGTGGGGCAGAGCCTTCGCTCTCGGTTGTCCCCAGCCTCACCTTAGTAAGAGCTGCATTCAGCACAGAACTTTGCTCTGACTGATCGAAGGTGAGGGCAGAAGCCGCCCTGGGCAGAGAGGGCCCCTGCGATGAATCCTGCTCCCCTCGAGAACTCACAGGCTGGTGGGGAGACAATGTCATCACCTGACAGTGCCAGTGCTGGACATCCCCAGTGCTGGCCAGCCACCTGCTCTGAGATCTCAGGTATATCTAACCTAGGGCTAATGTCACTGTCATGCCAGATAAGCCTCTGCCTGCCTTCTGGGTTATCAGGACCACACGGCTCTCCAGTCTCAGCTTAATTTAGTCTCTCTATAAATGGACACTCAGGATTCTGATGGTAAAATGCTTAACAGACACAATGATGATGTGTGAAGGGGGTCAGTGATGACCCTCTAGGTACCAGAAGAATCAGGGGGTCCTCAAACAGGTTGCCGAAAGGAAGATCTAATGAGGGTGGGAAGAGTGGGGAGAGCTCTCAAGAGAGGCAGGGCACAGCCTGAGCAGAGGTTAAACCCTGATAGAGCAGGCAGATGCCCAGGCAGACTGCTGGCCATGCCAGGCCAGTCCAGAGCTGAGGTCTCATGTCATCCCCTCCACAGCCAACCAAGTTCATGGTCGGCACTGAGCAGGGTATTGTCATCTCCTGCAACCGCAAGGCCAAGACATCAGCAGAGAAGATTGTGTGTACCTTCTCAGGCCACCACGGCCCCATCTACGCCCTCCAGAGAAACCCCTTCTACCCAAAGAACTTCCTGACTGTCGGCGACTGGACAGCCCGCATCTGGTCTGAAGATAGCCGGGAGTCGTCCATTATGTGGACCAAGTAAGGGAGGGAGACAGGGGACAGGAAGGGACACAGAGAAGGGGAGGGGACAAGGGGGGGCCACTGTAAAGACTCTTCCATTTGTAAAATTTAGCAAATAAAAACCCAGGATTTCCAGTGAAATTTAAATTTCAGAAAAAAACCCAGTGATTCTTTTTAAATAGAAGTATGTCCCATGCAATATTTGGGATATACTTTAATAATTAGCCATTGTCAAAAATCTCCCAAGTTTCTTTTATCTTGATTATTTCTAGTGTGTAGCCTAGCTGTCCACACACTTAGCTACAAATAAGGCCAGGAAATGTAGCATGGCCACCATGGTCCACCTCCAACTGTACCACTGTGGAGGAAGGGAAAACTCAAAGTCCCTACCATGTGCGTTTTCTTAAAAAAAAAAGTTCCATGTTCATTGAACAAATTTTTGAAAACCCAAATTAAGGCAAGTTGGAAATACAACCCTCCTCTGATCTCAGAGATATGAATTTCCCAGGAATGACCTTCCTCCAACCTCATCTGTGGGTTCCAGGACTGGATCCAGATCCAGCAGCACAACCTGTAGTCTGGTTTGCTGTTGAGAAAGGCCAGTGGCTGGCTCATGGGAAGGACCGTCCCACAGCCCTGCAAAGAGTGCCCTGTGAGCCGTGGATGGGTGAGGCTGGTACACTGATAGTCAGACCCAGGGAAGAACTTCTGGAGGCTTTGGAGTTCATGAGGGCCTGAGTGAGCAGAGCTGTGGCTCAGCAGGCACTTAGTCCTCACCACAGTCCCTGACTCATGGCACAGTCCCCTACAGGTACCACATGGCTTACCTCACCGATGGAGCCTGGAGCCCCATCAGACCAGCTGTTTTCTTCACCACCAAGATGGACGGGACCCTGGATATCTGGGACCTTGTGTTCAAGCAATGCGATCCTGCTCTCAGCCTGAAGGTCATGTGCATCTCCCTCCCTGTGCATCCAGGCCCTTCTAGGACAGACTTGGGATAGGTGTGAATGTGGTACATTGTAAGCACGCTGTCATGGTCAGGTGTGTTTGGTTGAGGCCTCTCTGGGTAATTTGCAGCTGGCTGACATTTTTGGCTTCAGGAACGTGCGCTCCTGCAAAGGTGAGGAGTGGGGGACTTGACTACGAGGGCAGTGCAGAATCACCCAAGGGAATTAAGACAGAGGGGAAGGTCTGGGGGCTCAGTAGTAGAGAGCTTTCCTAGCATGGGCAGCTATGGACTCAATCCCCAGCACTACAAGAAAAACAAACAAAAACAGAATTTTACAGAATTAAACTGATCTGTCCTGCCCCCAGCATAACCCTTAGACCAGTGGAGGCCCCTTCAAGCCTGAGCTCATATTAGCAAAGCAAAATCCCAGAGTTGAGCCCCACCAGCTAGGACTATGGAAGGCCACCAGGCTTGGGATCCATAGAATGAATGGGGCTGAACTAATGGGGATGGTAGTGATGAAGTTGGAGGTCAAGGTCTTGACAGCCAGTCTCCCAACCACTTCACCCTGTGGGACAGGGGCTGTCATCAAGAATATTTGAATAGGGCTGAGAGGCTAACCTTCCCCAGAGCTCAGATGATCAGACAAACGTGACTTTGTCCTTCTCTTCTTCCCCTACCCCGGCTCTTCCAACAGGTGTGTGATGAGGCTCTCTTCTGCCTCCGGGTGCAGGATAACGGATGTCTCATTGCCTGTGGCTCCCAGCTAGGGACAACCACCCTGCTAGAAGTCTCTAGTGGGCTCTCCACCCTCCAGAGGAATGAGAAGAACATAGCTTCTTCCGTAAGTGCTGGGTGCTGGGGGGGGAGGTCCATTCTGCACATGTCCTGTAGTCCTATGTCCCCTCCCTCCCACCTCTTGGGAAATATGTGGACACACTGTTGGGGGTGGGCAGTGTGGTGTCCTACAGCGGGCTCTGCAAATGGTGTTAATGGTGTCACCCTGCCCTCACTCAACCATGTGTGGCTCAGTGCCCTGGCTAAGCTGCTTTACCTCCCCAGGTATCCGTTTTCTAGCTGTAAATCCAAGTGGTTTGAATGGGTCTGTTTGCCTAGTTTCAAACAATGTATATAAGTTTTTGGTAGCAGAACTGTTCAAATGAAGGCTTAGCAGATGACAAAACAGAAGACAGGTGAATGTGACCTGCCCCAAGGAAGGGATGCTGAGATCCACTACTAATTCCTCCCCCAGGCAGCCCTGGAGCCCACTCCCCAGCATAGGGCACACTGTGGGATTGAGGCACCTGGTCCTCCAACTTCCTGGCTCTGCCCGAGACTGGGGTCTCCCCACGGAGCTGGTCCTCCATTGGGTTCAGGAGCGCCATGTTGCATAACACAGAGGACACGTTTCACCCTCTAGCCTAGGTACCTGGTGTCTCCTTGGAACTGAATAACTTGACATCCCTGCTTCCAGCCTTCTGAAACCAGTATTCAACCCTTTTTCCTTGACTTTAGCCCTGTGTGCAGACACACCTCTGTGGGGACTGCTTTGAGTAGAGCAAGGAGAGCTTAGTAGATGCCAGCCTGGCCCTGTGCTGGAGTCCTAGCTACCCTCCCCCTTCTCAGCGGCCTCTGTCCATGTGTGCTCCAGATGTTTGAGCGTGAGACCCGGCGGGAGAAGATCCTAGAAGCCAGGCACCGAGAGATGCGGCTGAAGGAGAAAGGCAAGGCAGAGGGCAAGGACGAGGATCAGAGAGACGAGTTGTTGGCCGTGGACTTGAACGAGCTAGTCACCACTGCTGAGGAGGAATTCTTCAGTGTCATCTTTTCAGAGCTGAAGAGGAAAGAGGCAGAGGCCATGAGGAAGAAGTCAAAGGCTGTAAGGGCCTCAGCAGGGGCCCTGGTGGGTTGGGGGCTGGGAGGGAGCCATGGAGCCTGAGTCTACCTGCTTGCTGACTTCCTGGGTGACCTCCAGCATGTAGCCTTCCTCGCTGGACCTTCATTTGTCCACCTGGTAAATGGGAGGAATTACTCCCTTCCTGTCATGGTAGGCACATCTTGAGCAGGCGGGGTGACCCACTGAGTGAGGGCCCCGGAGATCAGTGTGCTGTTGGAGGAGTGAGAGCCTTGAAGCCCGTGGAGGAAGGCCATGACTTCCTTAGTTGGAGTGTTCTGGCTTACCCCTGCCTGGTGTCAGAATTGTGACTTATGTTTTGCCCTTTTGCCCTCAGCCCCAGCTCTAAAGCACTTTCTAGCTGTGTCACCTAGACTGGTCATTTCACTTCTTGGTTCCTTAATTTCCATCTGGAAAATAAGGGGATTGAGCTGTAATGATAGTACCTAGTTACACTCTGGGCCCTCTTCTGGACTAGGTGACAGAGGAAGAAAATACCTTGTCTATCTGCATCATAGTGCCTTACTATAAAATGCTAAGATGCGAAAGGCCAAGGATCAGCATGGCAGGGAAGCTGGAGTTGTGGCCCAAGTGAAAGAGCACCTGCCTAGCAAGCATGAGACCCTGAGTTCAAACCCCAGTCCCACCAAAACCAAAACAAAACTGTCTCTGTTAGCATAGCAGGGAAAAGACTAAACCAGGGTAACCAGGATCCACCCTTGAAAGTAAGACTGACTACCTTTGGGAGTGGGGTCAGGTCTCCTCCCAACCATCAACCTCTGGCCCATCCAGCCCTTCAGAAGGGAAAGGTGACCTTGATCACTCTACATCCTGAAATACACTCCTCACAACAGTTTGAACTTCTAGAAATTCAAGCCTCAGAAGGTATTAGGTTCATGGACTTTGTCTTCTGTCTTCTTGCCACACTCTTCCTCCTTGTCTCTCCTTACCCTCAGCAGTTGGCTCAAAATTCTAGGGGCAGAAAGCACTGCCCAGAACCAAGGCCATCCACTATGTGTTGACTCTTACAATCTTATCTCTAATCCCAGCCCAGACATTATAGGTGAAGGTGCCAAGGCGCCCCAGGAAGAGCAGGATTGAGGTGGTCTGGTCAGTAATGGCAGAAACAGGACTGTCATGTTCCCAAGACCCTGCCCACTTGCCATCCCCAAAGACTGAGCACCCACTGGGCCCTGGCCAGCACAGAGTTGGCACCCTGGGCTCCTGGGCGCTCGGCACTCAGGGTCCAGGCAGCTGCCTGTTTTGGGTCTCATGGGGTTAACCTTTGGGGAATGGGGAAGGCCTACCCCTCACCAACATTTCTGCTTTCTCCTCAGAGAAAACGGTCAAGTGCAAAGGCAGATGATGTGCTGGTGGAAGAAGATGCTGGGGAGGGAGAAGATGCCTGGGAGGCAGAAGATGCTGAAGGAGAAAATGGCAGGGAAGAAGAAGGGGGTGAGGAAGAGAGGCCAGCTTAGGTCAGCCTTCACCTGCAGCACTGTCCCTATTTGTCCCTTCCTTCCATCCTCTTGGTATCATACAGGTCTTATAAAAGTGGGGAGTTGAGCTTCTCCCTTAAAGCATCATTGCTGGGGGCACCCTGGGGCCCTGACCATCCCCACTCTACAAATCATTGGCCCGCACACTCCCTTCTAGAGAGGAAAGGGCAGGATTTGTCCCTGTGCTGGCTCCCCTGTGTCAGCCACCCTGTGGCCGACTCCACAGCCTTAGCGGCTGGTCCTAGGTGTTTTCTTAGTCTGCTTCTCCTGGGTTCCCCACCAATCATCTTCCTGGAGGAGCTTCCAAGCTCAGCTGGACTTGTACCAGCCATAGCTGGCCTTGGGAAGACCTGCAGAGGGGGAAGAGCTTCTCCTCCTCCCTTCTCCCCTCCCTCATCCACCTGCAAATCAGGAACAGAAAACTGCCCACTTCTGCAAGGCCTTTCTGAGCAGCTCCTCCTCCGAGGCATTTTGACACACAGCTATGTCAGAGGCCTCTGAGTATGTGTGAGAGTGGATGAGCAAGATGGACTTAATTATCCTGGATGCACTTGCATGCTTTTAATCACCATACTTCTTGTAAAATTAGAGCAACAGTAACAATAACAATCGTTAGCACCTGTTGGTCCTAAGAGCTTTCGTAGGCGCTCGTGTAATTCTTTCAAAGTCCCTGTGTGCTCTGACTTACAGAGGAGGAAAGTGGCTGTGGATGAAATGCAGGGAAGTGCCCAGGTCTCAGAGCTGGTGAGGGGCAGAATGGGAGCCCAGGCAGCTTACTTCCCACCCCTCTTGTGGGAGTCAACTATGGGCTTTTGTTCAAGGTGGAAGGCCATGGGTGTGCCCACAGCGCAGCATAGCAGTGGGTAAGGGAGAGGACACCTGAGAGCCTACTTTGCACTTCTACCATCATTGATTCTGAGGTTGTCAGCTGATCTTGGCAGGGATCCAAAGCACCCCTTAAAAATGCCTGTTCTGCCAGGCACTGGTGGCTCACGCTTGTAATCCTAGTTACTCAGAGACAGAGATCAGGGGGATCACAGTTCAAAGTCAGCCTGGGCAAATAGTTCGTGAGACCCTGTCCTAAAAGTACCCAACACAAAAGGGCTGGTAGAGTGGTTCAGTGGTAGAGCACCTGTCTAACAAGTGTGAATCCTGGAGTTCAAACCCCAGTCCCCCCCACAAAAAAATGCCTATATTAAGAATTTTGTGCTGGGCGTGATGACACATACCTGTAATCCCAGTATATGGGAGGCTGAGGCAGAAGGAGCTAGAGTTCAAGGCCAACCTTAGCTACATAGCAAGACTTTGTCTCAAGAGAAAAACAAAAATAAAACTGGGCACTTGTGGCTCACATCTGCAATCCTAGCTACTTAGGAGGCAGGATCAACACAAAAAAGGGCTGGCAGAGCGGTTCAAGTGGTAGAGTGCTTTTCTAGTAAGTGTGAAGCCCTGAGTTTGAATCCCAGTATGCCAAATTAAAAAAAAAAAAAAGAATTTTGTTGAGGAAGAACTCAGGCTATAAAGGGGTTGGGGGGCATCGAGTTGCCAACTCTGGCTAGACTTTGGTGGAAACAATAGTCACCAGTCATGTGTACTGAGGGCTTGACCTTCACAAGAGTCCAGGATTGATCTCCATTTTCAATCTGCATGTCACCAAAGTGGCAGGTGACAGAAGGAAGGGCTTGCTGGGTCTAATGGGAGCAGGGCACAGAGCTGAGATATAGGATCGGGGTCCTGTATTATGCCACACACCTACGTTCCCAGGTCTCCCAGCACAAGGAGTGAGTTCAGCTGGGTTTCTGCTCCCTGCCTGGTGTTGCATCCAGGCAGCAGAAGGAGGGAGTTTAAGGGAGCATCGGGCTCCTCACTGTATGAGGACACAGCCCACCCTGTGCTGCCGTAAGAACCTCCTTCTTAAAGCAGCAATTATCTATGGGCTTGAGTTTGCCCCCATGGGACATTTGACAATGTACGCAGACATTTTGGGTTGACACAATGGGTAAGGGTCTTGCGCCTGGCCCCTTACTCTACAGAAGAGATAACAGAGGCTGCAGGGAAGTGTCTTAATACAAGAGTTTTTAAAGGGTGCTTTGGGTAGGCATGTCGCTCAACAGGATGCCCCCACCACAAAGAATGGTATTGTCCAAAATGTCCACAGAGGCACAGTGGAGAAACCTATCTTAGAGGGACAAAGCTATCCAATGAAGTGCTCCAGGACAAAGTCCAAGCTGCACACTGATGGCCCCAGTGAGAGGCTGACACCAGGGACAGAAGCACATTCTTTTGCTCTTCTGAAATTTTGGCCTTTGCTTTGTGCTTGCAAGGAGGCCACCTGCTGGAGGTCTGCAAGTCCTTCCCTGCATACAGAGGGCGCCACTGTGCCAGGATGACGTTAGAGAACAGGCCATAGGAGAGAGGAGGGCTGGCAGACAGCACTGGGCAAGGGACACAGGAGCTCTGTGCATGAGGTGCCCAGACCTTTTGGCAATAACGCTTACCAGCCTCAAACCAGTTTCACTGGGCACCTGTTGTTTTTTCCCATCCAAAAAGGAGCAAAACAAAGCCACGATGCATTATGGGAGAATCCGCGCCAGCTGCAAAACTCATGGCCGTGGGTGTGGAATGTGCATTGGGAAATGCCAGCACAGGGCCAGGCAGGGGACACAGCAGTGCAGAAGGTGGCAGAAGGAGTGTCTAGACCCCTGTGTTCACAGCACACTATGTCCCCCATGTCCATGCACACTTGCCACTTAATCATTGCTTTCACTGCATCCCCGTGGCTACTGGGACAATCTGCTCACTGTTCCCTTTCATGTGGCAACTTGGTGCTGGGGCCCCAGGGCAGGACTCTGAGGAAGGACTTCCTTGCCCTTTGTCAGCAACAAAATGAAGTGCTCCCTCCTCAGGCTCCAGAGGCTCTGAGATGACCCTGATGCCCAAGTCCAGGGCTGCAAATGACCTCCCAGGGTCAACTCAGCATCCTGAGCCCCAGGAGCAAGCACCTCTAGATGCTGATGGCGAGCCTGAGGGACTGAGATGGGCCGAAAACAGCAACAGCACTTTTGGTGCTTACAGATGGGGCAAGGGTGAATCCAACTTGGGTGCGTGCTGTCTGGGTGACCAAGCCTTTGCTCAGTCCTATACTAAGTATGGGTCAAGGAGCAGGTCTGCCTCTGTGCGTGCACACGCTGCTGGGAGAAACAGAAGGCCAACACAGAGACACCTAAAGAATGGCTGTTGTGCAAACTCACATTTTAAGAGCTACTGTAGGGCACTATAAGAAAGAAAATAGGAGCAACTAATCTAGACTCGGGGTGGTGGGGAGTTGCTGTGAGAAAGTGACATCAAAGTTAAGACACTGAGAATTAGCATGACATGGCCAGGTGGCATTTGTGCACATGTGTGCATATGTGCATGTACACCTGTGTGCAAGTGTGATTGCATGGACGTTTGTACAGAGGGGCCATTCAGGTAGAGGAAACTGTACACACAATGCCCCCATGAGAGAAACTGGTGGTATGCCCTGTGACCAACAGGGAGAAGTCAAGGAGCCAAAGCAAGGTACGAGCTTGAGGGGTGGGGGGAGTGACTCGCAGTCATTGGATGGAGCGAGGTCTTGGCCTGGGAGTAGCCCAGTGGCTGAACTGTGCACCTGCCCATGAAGCATGGCCTGGAAGGAGGCCACTGGGGCTATGTAGGAGGATGGTGTGGTGTTGGGACAGTTGGCAGTTGGAGTGGGGCGATGGCTACAAAATTACTTGCCTCTTTGCAACTCTGTTCCCTTCCTTTGGGATTGTTCAGGTGAATGAAGAAAATAACACGTGTCAAACATTGGGTTCCCAGGCTGGTGGAGTGGCTCAAGTAATAGCACACCTGCCTAGCAAGCACAAAACCCATGGCTCAAACCCCAGTATCACCAAAGCCAAACTAAACCAAAAAAACAAAAAAAAAAACCTTTGGATTTCCAATAAATGCCCAGTAAATATCCATTACTTCCCTTACTTAAAAGCATCAGATGAGCCCAGCACTGGGGGCTCACATCTGTAATCCTAGCTACTCAGGAGGCAGAAATCAGGAGGATTGTGGTTCAAAGCCAGCCTAGACAAAGAGTTCCTGAGACCCTATCTCAAAAACACCCAATACAAAAAGGGCTGGCGGAGTGGCTCAAGGTGAAGTCCCTGAGTTTAAGCCTCAATACCACAATAACAACAAAAAAGCATCAGATACCCCTCCCACTCCCAAGACAGGCTTTGCGTTTCTGGCAGCAAGCTCTAGGTTAATACATGGGGCAACTCTAATGATTTGTGAGTTGGCTCCCCAGGACCCCTTCAGCATCTGAACCCCATCCCTCGGAGATGATGCTGGGGCTTCTTAAGAGAAAAACCCTTGATAAATGCTTGGCTTCCTCAACGACTGCCATCTCACCTCCCAAGGTCTACCTTGGGGTAGAAGAGATCTGAGCCTGTGAGGCCCAACCCTCAAGCAAGTGGGACTTTGGTCTCTTGGAGGTCAAGGACTTCAGAAAATGCTCAGGGCTCCTCCAAGCCAGTGGTTTCCAAGCTCAGGAAGGAAATGGAGTATGTGATATGTCTCTGTTGAAAGTGTCATCGCTGATGTCACCAGCACGGGCTGGCAGCAGTGTCTTCTTTAAGAAAGGGAGGTTTTGCAGGCGAATGAATGAAGATTTCCATGAACCCAGAGAAGCCTGAGCCCAACCAGGTTTTTAGTGACTGATACCTGAGGACTGACCCACCCCGGAGCTCCTCAACACCTCTTGAGATCTAAGCACCCTCAAGGTTAAAAGAGGGCTGGGGGTGTAGCTCAGTGGTAAAGCCTGTGCCTAGCATGCATGAGGCCCTGGGTTCCATCTCAGCAGGACCTTTGTGAAGATTAAACGTGACCTTGACGTCTCAGCATCTAGCCTGGCCTCTGGCAGATCGCAGGTGCTCAGCAATCCCACTGATTCTTCACCCTTGCATTGCTAAACTCTCACTGGGCACTGTCCTAGAAATACTAAGGTAAGATGCAGCCCCTCAACCCAGCCAAACGGACAGATCTAATCTTTAGTGGTGAGTGCTGATAGAAAAAGCACACAGGAAAAGTACCTAATCCAGTGGGGCTTGGGCTGACCCCCTGGATTTGTTGGAATTCTTTTGTTTAAATGTTTCAGAAACATAAGCTAGTTAATTTCAAAAAAGGGTATTTATTGGTTCAAGAAACTTGGAAGACTGAGGCTTATCTGGCTTCAGGTGTGGCTGGATCCAGTAACTCATGTGTCATTCAATTTATCTCCCTGTACATTTCCCTGCATTGCTTCCTGTTATGCTTTCCTTCAACTGGACCAGGGGAAGGGTCAGGCATGACTGCAGGGACCCCAGGCATCAGTTATCTCAGTCAATAATACTGAAGTGCAATACAATCCCAGGACCCAGTTTGAGTCATAGGTCACCCTACGTGACCTAGGCCAAGCCTGGGTTACAGAAGGCCATGGCTTCTGCCATGGCCATGGCTGTGGGCAGGACAGAATGCTGCCATGAGCACTGGACCACTTGGACTAGAGGGAGGATAGCGGGGAGGTGACATGTAGAATGGGTTTAGAAGGAGTTAGCCAGACAAGTGGAAGAGGGATGTCCAGCACAGAGCTGCTTGAAGAAAGCCCAGGAAGAAAAGAAGAGAGTAACTCACTCAGAGGATAGTGTGTGATTGAGCCTGACCACTGCAGGGGTGGGAGGAGGAGGCGAGGAAAGCCATGACTCCAGGCTATAAGGCTGACTCCATTTGGAGGGCAACAGGGAGCCATGGCAGGACTTCAAGTAAAATAACAATAATGGTCTGTCTTTTATACTGAAGAGGAGGTGGAAAGTGGAGAGAAAAACCAGGCAGGCTGCTGGGGTCATCCAGGGGAGAACCTGTGAAGTCCCAGCCTGCTGGCAGTGCAGTGGGGATGGAGAGGGCGAACAGAAGCAATGGAGTAGGATGAGCCAGCAGATTCCAGGGTGTGTGAGAGGCGCTCAGCACTCACAATGCCTGCGTCTCTCTCCCTCTGGGAGCATACTTTTTTGATGGCTCTGGAAGGGCATAAGTTAATGGTTTTATGGACAGGAGAGGAGAGTCTGATGTGAAGAATAAAGAGAAATGTGACAGAAGTAAGTTGGAGGGCTGGAGGCATGGCTGAAGTGGTAGAGAGCCTGTCTTAACAAGTACAAAGCCCTGAGTTCAAACCCCAGTAGCCACCAAAACAAAAGTAACTTGGAAAGAGTGTACTGGGTAGAAGGCTGGCATGAACCAAGGTCTATTCTCAAGAACAGGACACAGCTGATAAGGAAGCATGGAGAACTCAGTGCCTGCCTTTACCTCTGTGTTAGAGCCGCACCTCTGAGAGTGAGGATGACTGCAAGCAAGGCAAAGCCCTCCACTAGGGGGCACCAGTGAGAAGGGGTAGAAGCTGCTGCCTAGGGGTGGAAGAAGAGGAGGTACATTCACAGAGCTAGGAGCTAACAGCTTGAATGACTTCAAGAGGCAGTGTATAAGGGGCTGGTGGTTTCACTGACAAAGGTCACTGGGTGTGATGGTTCACACCTGTAATCCCCGCACTAGGGAGACTGAAGCAGGAGGATTTCCTGAGGCAGGAGGCAGAGCTTAAGGCTAGTCTGGGCTACATAGAAGACTCTGTCTCAAATAACAACAACAGCAACAAAAGTCAAACATAAATATCCCACGAAAGTCAAGAGGAGAGCCAGGCATGGTGGCACATGTCTATAAAATAAAATACGCACAAAAAAGAAAAGTCTGGGGCATAGCTCATAGAAGTCTGCAGGTAGAGCTCTCATCTATCATATGTGAGGCCCTTTGTCCAACCCCCCAGTACCACAAAAAAAAAAAAAGGTCAAGCAAAGGACAATGTTTGAGAATAGAGATGACTTGGTGGTGAGTCTCCCTTGTAAGATGGGACCTCTTGCTTAGAAGCTTCTAATTCTTACTCATTAATCATGAGAGGGCATTGTGGGTAGGATTTATGCATATGGAGAAATAAAAAAGAAAAATAGCCCAACTGACCAGGGGCTCCTTGACTGACCCAACCAGAGTCAATTCCGGGGTCTAAAACACAATCAAGACAAGTCCTCAAAACATACCCAGTTCTTGTTGCAGAATGAGCCAGCCTGGGCCAGAGAACAGGACAAAATCCTGGAACCCTGCAGGAGGCTTTGGTTCCCACCAAGCTTTCCTTGGCCTATGTATTTATCAAACCCCAGGCAGCCAGCTGCTGCTTCCTGTCACTGTTTATTAATAACTATCCCCAACACAAGCTCCTCTGGGGTAGTGGGGAAGCCAGTCCTAGGGCACAGGTGGCATCACACTCTGCCTCTGGGTGAGTGCCAGGCGTCTGAGATAGCCCCCAGGGATGTGAGGCGTAGGAGAGCTACCTTTCTCAGCTCCTTCCTTGGGAAATTAACCCCATCTCAGCTCCCCCTCTGCTCTTTGTAGGGGCTGCTGGGCTCAGCTTCAGTGAGGGGGGCGGCAATGACACAAAAGATATGTCACCAGAATCAGGGAGCGCTCTAACATCACGCAGAAAGCTGGGCTCTCTGGAGGGGGCGGAAAAGCAAGTTGGAGGCAATCCTGTTTTCCTGGGCCCTCCTGAGGCCAGGAATTGTTCCACTGTGCTCCCTGGGTGTGTAATCGTTGCTGTTGTCACCAAGAATGGAGACTGCTGCATTTGACCTAGAATTTCTCACGCAAAATCGAATCTTCCAGCAGGCAGGGAACCAGAAGAAAAGCACCAGGGCGGGGGTCGGGCCTATCCACCTTGACCTAGATACTGGGTATATGCATAGGGCCTTGTTTGTTAGTGGCGGACTCTTCTGTAACACACCCTTCAGCTAAGCCAGGCGCTCCCCCTGTGACACCGGGCAGTCCGGGCACAGAGGCAACTCTTCTTCCACCCGTCTGCCTCTGGACAGTGGGTGCAAACTGCCCACACCAGAGGCACCGGTCACTGTAGCGATGCCCGCAGAAACACGAGGCTGCCAGCCGCGTCCTGGAGACCCAGGTAGACAGTCGTGGCCGGAGGGGCGGGGGCGGGGGCGGGGGCGGGGGCGGGAGCAGGGGCGGGGCGGACACAGAGGGCGGGGCGCAGGGGGCGGGCGGGCGCAGGGGGCGGGGCGTCGCCGGCCGTGCCCTCAGGCCCCGCCTCCTGGTCAGTGCCCCTGCCACGGGCGCGTTGTTGGTTTCGGGTTGTCAGGCAGCCGCCGCGGCGGAGAGCGACCCGGCGACACCGCGGTGGGGCTGCTGCCTCTCGGCCATGCCTACTGTCGCGGCCTAAGCCCGTCCGCTCGCCGCAAGCATGAAGGAAAGCGGGGACTCAAAGGACCAGCAACTCATGGTGAGAGCCTCCTTCTCCCCTTTCCCCACGACACCCCCCCGCCGGAATCGGACTACCTCAAGCAGTCCCCAACACTGTCCACTAAAGGGACACCAAGTGTCCACTAAGAGGACATTCAAGGGACAGGGTCTGGGACTGTGCATAACAACTTTGCCCAAGTCCTAGAGAACAGGTGTCCAGAAGGTATTGTGGCCTCCTTCTGAGGCTGGAAATTTAGCCCAGCCTCAACCCTATTCCCCCAGGATCCTACTCCCCGGGGACCCCACCCCGAAGCCTGAGTAGCCTCTGGGGCACAACTCTTGGATCCAGGAAAGATTGACCTATTGCCTGAGAAAGAAGGTGGGGGTCTCCTGGTGAACCAGAGGGACCCCAGCCTGGCAGTGGGTCTGAAAGAAAGGGACCTGGAGACCACCAATAGGAACAAGCCCAGGCAAGGGTGCGACAATGACTGGAAACTGGGCTCCAACACACAGTCCAAGTGAGATCTCTAAATACCTCAGAGAAGTGCTGGAAGAGACCTCAAAGATGCAGGGTGCCTGGGACAAATGTGGGGTTGGAGGGAGGTAGGGCAGGTAGAGACTGGAGATAGAAAGTCTTGTTTATCAGTGGTGCCAGACTGGAACAAAGAGCGGGGAGAGTCAGTGACACCAAGGCTTCGCGAGGTTTAGGAGGGTGTATGGGGGTCTTCCTCTCCCCAGCCTCTACTTCTGAGACATGGGAATGGGCCTTTACAAACAACAGATGTCGGTGAGAAGACTGGAGGCTAGTGTTACCTGTTACCCCTGACACCCTACCTTCTGTAGGGTGCCTTACTTCTGCAACGGGAAGCCTCACCCTGAGCCCCCAGGCAAGCCCTGACTTTGGGAATGGGCTTTGAAAAGGTTTGCCTCATCAAAGCTCCAAGTGCTGCCAGGGAGGGCCCTCCCCTCCCCAGATGGGGTCCCCTGAAGAGGCCCATAAAGATGATCTAACAGCCGTGCAGTGCCTCTGAAAGTGAAGTTAGGGTGCCTTAGTTCCACCCACATACCCACAGATGTGTCCCTTCGGATAGGCAGAAAAAACATTTTCCTCACCCACTCCACTCGTAGGGAGGCCCATGCACATAATGAAGATCCAGCATCTCTCACTGCTAGTGAGTAGACAGAGGAGGGGCCCTTGGTGACTCTTTCCTGGGGTTGTTAAGATGTGGTCACAGGTCCTTAGGATGACGAGGTCCTAACTGCCCGGTCATACTGCAACCAGCCCACCATTTTCAGCTGCAGCATTCACAGTCATGGATAACCTGCTCCAGTGCCAAGTGCTCCAAGTTCAAACCCAAGGGAGCCATGGATGTTTAATTTGAGTGTGTTACTGATGCGACCTGAGTAGACAGTTCTCTCCCCGGGGGGATCTCCCCGAGGCACGGGCTCCTGGGGAGATTCATAGACTCAGACACAGCCCAGCACATTGTGAACCTACTGCCCTCTGAGCAGTGACCTGTTGGAGTTTTTCTTGGGACAAAGGAACCTGGGATGGCTGGACACTGGAGAACCCAGGACCTTGCTTGGGGGAGGAATCCTGAGACCCTCTCATCCTTTCCTGCATGGCCTAGCCTGGCCCCTCCTTCTAACCACACGGGTCTGGTCTCTCCCCCTACTCCAGGTGGCGCTCAGAGTCCGGCCCATCAGCGTGGCAGAGCTGGAGGAAGGAGCCACCCTCATTGCCCACAAAGTGGATGAGCAGGTATGAAGGGCCACCACAGTCAGGAGCTGCAGGGCAGAGGCCTGTTCAGATCTGTCTTGCAACTGCTGAGGGCAGAAAGGGATCTGTGGCTCATGGCACCATCCTCCTCTATTACCAACCCTGGGCTGTGCCATTGATGACATCACTGAGGAAACCAAGGGCTCTTCTCTGAGAAGCCTTGCTAGATGGTCCAAGGAAAGCTGAGAGCTTCTGTAGCCTGGATGGGCCCTGGTCACTTATCTCCCAGGCATGGCTTGACTTTTCCATCCTAGTATGTCTGCTATCCATAGAGCACGTTCTTATATGGTCAGAGCTAAAGCTCACCTCCAGAATGATCAGATTTGGCAAAGTCTTTGTCTGCCTGCTCTCTTGGCCCTCATGTCACCATGATGGGGAAGGGCAGGGCACACGAGGTAATATTTACCAAGAACCTACAGCATGCTGGGGACTGTGCTAGGAGCCAGGGAACTATTGTGAACAGAAAAGAGCCTGTCCTCCCTCTGTTTCCTACAGTCCAGTGTGAGGAGACCCGGGCATTCATGAAAGAATTGAAACAAACAGCTGAGGGCTGCAAAAAAAAAGAAGGAAGGAAGGGAGGCAGGGAGAGAGGGAGGAAAGAAGGAAGGAAGGGAGGAAGGAAGGAAGGAAGGAAGGAAGGAAGGAAACTGCCAGGAGAGTAAATAAGGGGGTTGACCTAGTCCTGGAGGTGGGGGAGCATTCCCTTAAGAGATAGTGCTTGAGCTGGGCATGGTGGTGCACACCCGTAATCCTAGCACTAGGGAGGCTGAGGCAGGAGATTGCAGGTTTGAAGCCAACCTGTCCACTTGGGGAAGGAGGGGAGTGGCAGAAGATATTGCTTGAGCTGAAATGAGGGTTAAAGAAAAGGTAATAATTAGGAGTGTGCTCAAGGGGAGAAATTGCCACCAGAGAGACTCGAATGTGCCTGCCCTGTGGTGAGAGGGATTGTAGTACAACTGCATAACCGAGAAAGAGCAGAGTGACTCAAGCAGGAGAGGGAGGGGGGCCAAGAGGTGTGAGAGGAGACCGGAGATGTGGGCAGGGCCAAACCACACTCTGCAGACATGGCAAGGATGTTTGTTTGTGTGGGGAATTGAAGACTCAGGTGCTGTGGTTGTCACAGTCACAGTGGTAAGGGCAGCAGGGACAGGTTTGGTGGCCAAGTGATATGAGAGGCTGTCAGTGACCCCTTCCCTCTGCTCTGTGGTTGCTGCTGCTGCTGCTGGCTTCTCCCGAGTACCAGGAGTCATTGGAGTGGTGGAGTGGGCTGGTAAGTTGGAGAGGTCAGAGTGCCGCCCTGTGCTGCAGAGAAAAGTTCATGGATACCTGCTGCACCGGGGCCAGGTCCCTCAGACTGGACTTGGGAAGCCCAAGAGTCACACCTCAAAGCAAAGCCTCCAAACCCCAGGAGGGCATGACCCCCACACCTCTTCCTCCAACCATGGCAGTACAGCTGCAGGCACAGTGGAGCCCTGGTACCTGTCCCTGATTCACTTCCCTCTCCATTTTTCCTCAAAGTCCTTGGGGCAAGCGGGGATGGCTGGGGAGACCAAGGCCAAGGCCAGCTGGAACAGAGTGAATGCCTGTAAATAGAACAGTAGCACAGTGTGGGTCTGACATTTGCCAGCTGTGTGGCCTTGGTGTGTGTGTGGGAGGGGGTGGGTGTCTGCTTGCTCCAAGGAGCCTCAGTTCTGCACTCTGAGTGGGGACAGCAGTAATAGTGCCATTTCTAGAGGGTATTTGCTGGATAAAGGATTTACATGACTCCCCAGTGCCTGGCACATTGGGACAACATCCTTGATGTGAGTCACTGTCTGTTAGAGACAGAGTCCCTAGGGCTGCTGGACTGGCCGTCCAGCCCTTAAGAACCAAGAACTCAGGAGGAGAAGGAGAAGGTTCCTTCCAGCCAAGCTCCCTGTTTGTCTGACTTGTCCTCGAGGATATCGGGTCCTTGGAGCTGGGACAATGATGTCTCTTGGAGGCTCCTGGCTCCCAGCCAGCATGGTGGCCGGTAAATGTTAACTGATAGGAGTACTCCCTGTCCAGGGAATAGCCCCCTTGTGTGCCAGCTCGGCAAACACTGGCTCCTTTCTGTCTCTGCAGGGCAGGGGAGGCCTCCCTCCAGGTCCAGCCTAGTCCAGCCCAGCTAAACCTCCACCAGACCCCAGCTGGGCAATTCCAGCAGGCCTGCCCCTTCAACAGCAGAGAGACACAGAGCCTGCTGTCTGAGCAGTGTGGGCACAGGGTTCTCTATGCTGACGCTTCAGGCTTCTGTCTCCAGCTCCTTCTGTTCCCATCTGGTTCAAAGATGGGTTTGTCTTGGGGGCCTGGCCTCACCATTCTTACTACAGTTTGAGAAGCTGAGAACCTCCTAAAGCCAGTTGTCCCCCTGACAAACCCACACAACTAGGAGGTTAAGACGCATGAATCTATCCCATCACTGGAGGCCATAGGTAGGAGGATTGCAGTCAGAGACTGGCCCTGGGCCAAAATGCCAGACCCTACCTGAAAAATAACCTAAAAAAAGCAAAAATGGCTGGGAGCTTGGGTCAAGTGGCAGTGTGTTTGCCTGAGTAATCATGAGGCCCTGAATTTAAACCCCACTACCACCATAAAAAAAAAGACACAATCCAAGGATGATCAATTTCCCTTGCCTCCCACTCTGATCAGCCAGTAATGGCAGAGTTCATCCTCAGCCCTGGACCAGAGGGAGGCTTGGGGCTCCAGTCTTGGGTCAGCTGTACTGATGAGGCCACAGCCAGCTGGCTCTCTCCTTCCTCCCAAGGCCTGAGGCCCAGTGGTGAGACAGTGGGGTGAATTTGTTACCCAGGACAACATGGCTGAGTGTTTCTTTCCAGCCCTGCCTCCTCTAAAGAGGTCCACTTGGGTTGTCCACCTGCTTTGTGAGAGGGCCCACCTCTACCAAGCCTGTGGCATTTGCTTCCTTGCTATGGCTGTCATGGCCGGTGGGGACTGGCCTGTCTGGGGGCTCCCCAAACCAGCTTCCTCTGGTCTTGGATCTGGACCGTGTCTCTTGCCTACCGCCTTCCCTTGGGGATGGGTGGGTTACTTTCCTCTGCTGGAGCCATCTGAGGGCAGGGGAGGGGGTGAAGTGGAAGGGGTACCTGTGGCACAGCCCAGAGCTCCCTCCTGAAGGCTCAGCCCCCTTGGTGGCCAGCAGGAAGTGGGCACTGCCGTGGCCTACCTGCCAGTGGGTCCTGAGTGGAGAGAGGTGGAAGAAGACTGAGTCACCACTGGCTGGGGCTGCTGTGAGGCCCCTATCAGCCTTACTTAGAGCTAGGCACCATTTTCCTGGGGCTATCAGGAGCCCCATTTTCCATGGGCTTGGCAGAGGCAGGCCCTCCCACAGGCAAAGTGTCCTGAAGGGCAAGAGGCCAGGGTGCCAGAATTCTGGGAAGTTGGATCTAGGGTTTGGATTTGTTCAGGTGTCTGGTAGGCCTGGGGTTCCCAGCCCTGGTTCTGTGTAGCAGTAATCATCATGCCTGAGTTAGAGGGTCCTTCTTGGAGGACTCTGTATGCACAGTGGGTGACACCCTCCTGCCACCTGCTAGGGGTTATCTAGCAGTTTATCTCAAGGGCTGGACATGAGATGCTTCGGGTCCCAAGGTTAAGTAAAACCCTGAGGCCTCCTCCCTCCCACATCCTGTGTCTGAGTTCTCAGTTTGTCCCTTCAGGGCCACCAACCCACGATGTGTTCCTGGAAGAGTGTACTGGGAGCTCATGCTTCTGTTTGGGGTGGGACTGAACCCTGAATCTGTACCTGGCCAGGAGGCCAAGGGGTGGAAGGGAGCTCTGGAGGGTGTTCCAGGCTGGGGATAAGAGGCTCCTGCCATCTTTCTCCATCCACTTCCTCACCAGTGCCCACACATCTGACCCTTCCAGGCTGTGTTTATCTGTAGGATTTAAGTCAACAGACAATGTACATAATCCCATAATTAGCATTTATCTTCTTGCAGCCCAACTGCCACACTCTGCTCCTGGGGGCCTGCAGAGCCAGGCAGAGGCCCTCCTGGGGGTCCAGCCTCTTGGCTGGAGGGATGAAGGAGAAAGAAAGCAAAGCAGGAGGGTCTGCAGCTTGTGATGTGGGGACAGAGCTGGGCTTCAAATAGAACAAAGACTCTATAACTGTGGTTCAGAGATCCAGAGGGCCCAGCTCCACTGGCTAGGTGCCCTCACATGAGGCTCTTATGGAAGTTAAGAAACGTATAAGGTGACAGATGCCAAGGGCCGCTGGGGGCAGCTGCGTTTAACCCACTTGTTCGTGTGGGGTACAGTGGGTTGAGGATCTCTCCTGCTTACTAACCATCTGGAGGCTTCTTGGCTCTGTTGTCCCCAAGAGCTGAGCATAGTAGAAAAGGACCAAGAGAGGATGCAAGGATTCTTTACCTCACCCCTTAAGCAATCCCCCAGACCTTTCCCTTCCCAGCCCAGGCAGGCATTCAATTACTTTCATCTCTATACCATCCACTCTTGCCATTTAATGTAATTGCATCATAACAACATGTGGTTCTTTCTGTCCTGGCTTCTTTTCCTTACTGTAATGTTTTTGAGGTTCATCTGTATTATAACTTACATCAGAACTCCATTCCTTTTCATGGCTAAATATGACATGGAATATTTTGTTTATCTGCTGATGGGCATTTGGGTTGTTTCTACTTTTGGGCTATTATGCATAATGCAAGGATACAAGAATTCTTACACTTAGCAATTAAAGGAACAAAGAGAGGGTGCTTGTTAAAAATGCAGCTTGGTGGGTGATTCCAAATGTATGAATCTGGGTGGTACCCGGCAATCTAGGATTCACAAGCACCACTGCCTGGGGGACTGTGATAAAGGCATCTGCAGACCCTTGGAAAGACACCACCTGAGACCATCTTCTATGTCATGCCTCCCTTCATCCAGAGCCTTGGGGTCCTCAGAGTTTTGTGGCTCTGTCCCAAGTAACCAGCTGGGCCTGATGA